AATTTCGCGACGACGATGGGAGGGCGATGGGTTTCGAAAGAGACTTGGAGAGACTTGGAGAGAATGGGGATTCGGTTATGCATAATCGAGAAAGGAAGTTTACAAATTTACAGCGCGTCTTGGATGAAAGAATAATAATAACGGCGATAATTAAGGGGAAATTGCAACCCTCTCTAGGATGGATTAAAGTAAAGCGGGGTAAAGTGGGGCGCGTAATCACTCACCTAAAATGCCGAGTCTGTAATTTATAGTGACGACGACGACACCCCCGTAACTCGCCAATACGCTGCCGTCGTAAGGGTTGCCGCTGCTCCATTCATAGCTCTCTCCGTGCACGAACACGATCACCGGGTATCTCCTTCCTCCACCGTCCCTCGCGCCAGCTGTAATCAATAAAATTATCCGCTGATCGATCGCCACCGCTGACACTTGATAGTTCGCGTCTCGCATCCTTAAACATCCATTTTTCAAAGGGGGGGCGCCCCCCGCCTTGTACAAACTTTTCACGCCACCGCGTTAAAAGGATTATCCGGGCAAGTTTGTCCGCAGGATTCTAACTCGTGCGTCGTATCATCTCGTGTACAACTCGTGATAACAAGTTGCTGAAAAGTTTAGCCGGGTGGTAGCGTGTAGGTCGGGTTAATTACGAATATATACACCCGCGATGGTGTTGGGGAATCGGAGGCGAGGCGTGTGTCGGGGGTGTATCGCGCAACAGCTCATCAGCGGGTAAATGAAAATGTTTCCTAGGGCAAAACCGAACGCCTTGTTACGCCGGAGTATCCTTCGCCCGCGGTAAAAACGGGGGACATTAGCCCGAGGTCGTTTCGATTTAATGGCCGAACCGTAGAAAATATTAAGGAAGCGACCAGCTGTGCCCCGTTGCCAACTCTCGTTAAAGCTCGCTCGTAAGTGGTCAAAATCGTGCGTCGCATTACGCGTTGCATCGTTGAAATGGTAACGATCCTCCATGATCGTCGACCTCGCTCGTTTCTTCACCGATGAACGTTGAAACCACAACTTGAGATAATTATCAATTTTACATCGTACAGAGAAAAAGACGCGTGAAGTAATCGTCTTATCTTCCATTCGTATCCGGCCATAAATTTTAATCGGAATTATCGAACGTTCGAAAAACGTGTTTCTCGATGTTCTCGACACACTGATTAAGTTAAAGTTCGTTCAAACGTTTAAACAATTAAGGTTTCGAAAACTTGGTTGGCGTGAGCATTATCCGGCTATCGACACGCGACGTATCGCGTTCGAGGTAATTAAAACGAGGGTTCACGAACGCGGGCCGAGTACGTCAATCGGATTTAGTATGCTAATACGAGGTTGGAACACACGTGAGCATGATCGCTGTGGCGGACAACAGCCTCGGTCATAATTCAACAAATCACGCGTTACCACACACGCGCCCTGTTTGACCAATAGTGTTCAAATCGGGGCGATCCGATTTTCCCTCCCCCGCGCCTCGTTTTTCATCGAGGAGAATCGGCATCAAAGGGGGAAATGGAAGCAGATAAACAATGAAATCTACGAAACGATCATTGGGTGTCTCGTTTTGATCATCGCGCGAAAATACGTGCGTGCGGAAGAATTTGAAAAGATGATCGAGCATTCTCCTTTCCCGCCGAGATAGATAGATAGATAGATAGATAGATTTAATAGCCGGATATAGCGGTCGTTAAAAATCTTATTAAAATTCAATATTTGCGGCAAATATCTCGGCAATAGAAAGAAATTTTAATGGATGGTATTAAAAGCGATTAAATTCAAAGGTCGGGGGAAACGGAAATTTTATACGTACGTAACCTCTCTATCTCGGTCCCGGGCTTGGCACCAATGAAATTACAAAAACGGAGAAACAGAGCTGATTAAATATTTAATTCACTTACTTCTTCTCGTGCTTTCTTCCTCTTTATTAATCGAGTTCTATAAAGAGGAGAGACCGCAAAAGGGGTGGGTGATTCGATTCGTCTTTTTATCGCTTTTAATAAAGAAAAAAAAAAAAGAAAAAAGAAAGCGAACGTACATTAAATGCGAGCACGCGATGTTCTTCGTCTCTCACTTTTCTCTTTTGCTCCCCTTTCGTTTTTCGCTCGGACAAACAAAGTTTCGAAAGAGGTGAAGAGACCATTGTGATATCTTTCTTCTCTCCTTCGGTCGTTTCTTCTTCTTCTAAATTTTTCCTTTTTTTTTTTTTTATTATCAACGAGAATTATCTCGTCAATAAATAGACGATAAACAAACGTATTACAAAACGAATCGTCCAAAATTATCAATATATTATAATACATCGTATTCTCAGAAACGAAGAGCAACAAATCGTGCGAAAGGCAAAAAGTTGATATAGCAAGAATGAAAACAAATAATAAAAAAAAAAAAAAAGTAATTTGAAACAAATAAGAATTCTTAATGAAACGCAATCTCTCGTGATAATTCATTCATATTTGTACAATTGTTCGTTTTTTTCGATACAACTTTTCTACATCGTTCCACTCAGACTTCCACTTTAACCGTCCCTCTTTTTCCACCCTTTTCTTAGCTACGCTATATTTCCCTCTGATTACTTCTCCCGTTACTCGACCTCTCCTCTCCTTTGATCCCCTTTCTCCTATCTTATTCCCTTGAAATCGTCCTATGTACCCGTTTATCCCATCGTGTTTCTCCCGGTAACGTTGTCCCGTGCTCCTGAAATATTTTTCCAGAACGAACCGCGTCGCCTATCCCGAGATACATCCCCAATTTTATCTCGCGCTTTATTAAGCCGCCTTTTTTTATACGACCGTCACTTCGTATTTTGTCCAACACCGAATCCAGGAAAATGTTTCCCCTCCTTGAAACGACTTCGTTCCTTGTAACCCGCGCGAGTAAAAATTTATTTTCCAATTTATTTGTTCTTCATTCCGTTTTTTCTTTTTTTTTTT